AAAAAAAGGTTAAATGAGCTGCATTGGCCGGGAATCGAACCCGGGCCTCCCGCGTGGCAGGCGAGAATTCTACCACTGAACCACCAATGCTCCAGCTGAATGCCGCTCTGCCCGCAGCTGTGTTGCTGCTCTGGCTCACAGTGGCACTGGCACGGCTGTAACCTGACACCTCAGATGGTCCAGCATGGAATGCTGCTCCATTCTGCTGGCCAAATCCATGGGAGGAGGCCCATGGGGCACACATGCCTGACATTCTGCTCCAATGAAAGGCAACAGGGGAAAAGGCTTTAGAAATTCTTTTGGCTTCTGGGGGTCAGGTTCCAGGCCTCAGTCTGTTAGCCTTAAAGATTGGAGTAGTTTCTGCATCAACTTACTCTTTGGCTGACTCTGGAAAGGAGAACATCACTCCAGAGCTGACTGGTGACCTCTCAGTGGCGACAGAGGCCCAAGAGATCAGAAAAGTCTAGAGTTCTAGAAAACATTTAGAGTCAAACTCCAGACTCCAATCGGCATAAAAGTGGTTTCTTCATGTTAAGGATAAACAAGACGTTAATGTTAAAGGAGTCTGAAGGACAGCAGAATTCCCAAGGACCAAATAAACTACAGCTGGAGCTTCCTTAACCCTCCCACCCTGAGAATGACTGGCACTGGAAAGGCAGCCAGCTTCCGAGTCACTGGATGTCTACCGCCAAGACTCAAGTGAACCTTGCAGACTATACTCCTGCCATGCTCCAAAGCTTTCTACATTGACTATAGCTGAACCCAGAAAAAGAGTAAAGAAAGCATTAATGCTCTTTGAGGCAGAAAGGGTTAAGAGCTATGGGTTCTGGAGGCAGACTGCCAGGTTTCAAAGGTGCCAGACTGCCAGATCCTGGCGGTGGTACTTATCTTCCCTGTGCCCATCTGTAGAATGAAGATAAAAGCAGTTCCCACCTCACTGGGCTGTTACTGGAATTAGGAGTTAAGATATGGAAATCAGCCCTGGTTGGCTGAGTGAGGCCCCAGGTCAGGTTCTACAACCTCTGGGTCCCCGTGGCCCTCCCTGGGAGGTGAGGGGCAGGAGGCAGAGACCACTTACCACTGGCTGTTCCCTCCTGCTTTGCCAACGAGTCATCAGGGTTGGGTTCTGCCTGCTTCTGAACCACTGGCTTGGGCTCGTCGGGCTCGTCATCCTCGGGGGTGACCAGCTTCATCAGGCTCTGGTTGCACACATTGGCCACCTCCTTGATGCCTGAGTCCACTGATATAAGGAGCAGCCTGATCCAGGGGTATGTTAGTGGGCAGACAGGTAGGCTGAACTGAGTCCCTGTTCTCCCTGCCACGCTGGGGTCCCCGCAAGATGCTCCTATGTCTCCTCACAGGGGCCCTTCCTGGTGGACCTCTCATCAACAGGATTTCTTCCACCCAACGCGGGGCAGTGTGAGCTCAAAGACTTGGCACCTTGGGACCTGCGAGAGCCTCTCCAGATCTGTAAGTAACCAGGTGAGGTTTGGGGATGGTGGTGGCATTAGCGCCACGTCCCTAGTGCTGCCCTGGCTCTCCCTGTCCATGTTCAGCTCCACCTCTTGCTGCTTTGATGCCTGGGGAAATGTGGAGGTATGATGGATCCTAAGGGAGCCCCCATCCCCCACTCCAGGGTCCTGCAACTTTATGGCCCCCTTTGGGGCTGCTCTTGTTTCCTCTCTCCAGAGTGAAGGATACTCTTCTTGCGGTCATCATAGGCCAGGCAGGGCAAGACAGCGGTCAGGATCCCAGAAGAGTAGGGCAGCATCACCCGGCCGGCCAGCTGGATGAACTCCCGCATCCAGCACATGGCTGTCAGCTGGATCAGGTCGTCTGGAAGGGGAATTGGTGGGTTCCAGGGGGTCAGCATGAGCAGCCAGAGCACCCCTCCCACTGACCATGTCCACAAACGGGACTGGAGAACTGGAGGGCACCTGAGGGCTGACACAGCTTCAAGCCTCACCAGTACTCTCGCCCTTGCTTTTTCCTTCCAAAGGAACATACAGGTACCAGGGTGACATGGAATTACAATCCTGTGGCCGATTGTAAGAGTAGCCACAATTCTCTATCCCTCCTGTGTCTACTCCCCCGTAATGGGGCTCTGTGGCTTCTCTCATCAAGAGCTGGAGTTTACTTCCCCCGTCCTGGTATCTGGGCCAGCCCTGCTATTTTGTCCAAGAGAAGGTGGTAGAAATGATGGTGTGCCTAGTTCAAGCCTAGGCCTTAGAGGCCTTGCTCACATCTATCATGCCTCTCGGAATCCACTGATGCCACGTGAATGCACCTGGGCTAACCCACTGGATGATGAGACACCTGGAAAGACTGTTCCTGTTGCCACAGGTGAAAGCTGGCAACAGCCAGACATGAGTGACACCACTGACCATGAGTAACACCTCAGCCGACCCTCCAGTTGACTGTAAGCACACGACTGAGCCCAGCCGAGCCTGGCCGAGGGGAGCAGGGCCACCCAGCTGACCTGAAGACTCAGGACAATACCAAGGGACTGCTATGTGAGGTAACTGCATTTTGGGGTGGTTTGATACTCGGTAGAAGCAAAGAGATACACGACCCCAATCTCCAAGCATTTCAATTCACAGTGCTAATGCCAAGCTTGCCAGCAAGAAGGCCTCCAGATCTGACTCCCCTCTAGGGTCAGACCAAGTGAAAGGGCCTCCATGTTGAAAGAATCAAAATCTCTCCCACAAGGACCCACCGCTCCAGGACCCACTGTCACACTGATTCACACTCCCACGAGGACTCGCTCTGAGATGGGGAGACAGAAAGGTGCTTCTGAGGAGGTGGTGGTGGCCTTGGGGCCTTTACACACTCACCCGTGGTCTGGCAGTGGATCACCAGGATGTTGGCCATCTCAGCAAACTTAACACTGGAGGGGTTCTTTTTAATTTCCTTCAAGAATTCTCCAAGGACCACCTCACACCTACCAATGAGCAAAGGAGAAAGGAGACAGCTCATGCAGCCAGAGCCAGAGGAGCCTCCACCAGTGCCATTTCTGCTGTGCTCTGTGGGACACACTTGTCAGACGGACATTTTTCAGAGGCGAGGCTGGGGGTGGATGATCTCCTAGCTCCTCAAAGCAGGAAGCACACGAGCCAGGAAGAGGACGGTGAATTTCGTGTTCGCCGCCTGTCTTGTTGGGTGTGGGGTACGCGTACGCACCGAGGGGCCCCTGCAGCCGCCTGCCCTCCCCTCCTCCACTCACATTTTCCGAATCTCTTTGCCGTTGTCGCCCAGGATCTGGAAGAGTCCATCCAGGATCTCCGGCAAATAATCCAGCAGGTTAATGTCTGGCACGGACTCCAGAACCAGGATCTGCCCCAGGGGAGGAAACCATCATGGAAAGTCACCAGCCAGAGAACCTGCATCTCCTCGCCCATCCTCTGGACTGGCCAGCGAGAAGGGGCCCTGCTGAGGCACCTTTTCACGGCACTGCGGGTGTCCCATGGGGGAGTGGGTGCTAGCAGCTGTTGTTTCTGTTCAATGGGCAGGGGAACGGCAATTTAACCCCAGGGCAGTTCAGATGCCCGGGGGCGGGGCGGGGGGTGCGGGAGGGAGCCCATGGGAAAGGTGGGCAAGGCTAGAAGAGGTGTGACAGCTGGAGGAGCACAGCTGGCTTCAAAGGTAAATCTGGGTGTTTCTGGAGACAAGGAAGGAACCACATCCTCTTCAGAGGCAAACGTGATGGGCTTTGGGGGCAAAGCTGAATAAATGTGTTTTCGGATTATCTGCTGTCATTGGCTCCTAGAGGGGTAACAGTGAGGCATCCCCGCAGCCACAGGAAGTGCCCAGGTAAGCCAGAGAGCAGACCTCACTCAACTAGAGGCTCCTTAAGGCTGGAGAAGGAGTGTCGCGGGGCCGGACCTTACCCAGGAGATGATGAACTGCCGGGCGTACTGGTTGTTGGAATAAATCCTCTCCCGCAACAAGGGGATGAAGCCCACCAGGTCGAACTTGTTGCTCTCCGTCACGATGTCCTGTGGGTCAAAGGCATGAGAGCTGCCTGCTGGGGGCGGGGCTGCCTGACCTGGCTGAATCCCTGGCCCGGGCTGGCTCCAGGGGTCAGGCGGACACAGAGGAAGATGACGGAGCCTGAGTCCGGCAGGAGAGGCCCCCGGAGCATCCTGCCTCACACAGGCCGAAGGACCAGCAAAAAGGATGCACTGAAAGCAGGAATCAAGGTCGAGAGAACTAATCAAAAGGCAAAACCCTGCATCTCTGTGGTCTGGATTGAATGCCCTGGTGAGCTGAGCATAAACTGCCCCTGTCCCTGGGGGCAGGGTGGGGTCAGCACGATGGGACATTAGGGTGACAGAATGGTTCTGTATTTTGATCCTGCTGTTGACATAACTCTATACTCTCATCATAGAGCTGTATACTATTCCATTAACCGTATGTAAATGAAAAAAAATTTTTTTAATTACGAAGAGCATCCCAATGATAGAATTTATAAGCTGTACAGACAGATGGAGGAAACAGATGCTAAAAATAAGAGTGGGGACCAAGTACAAGTACCTTTAATAGGCGGTCTAGGAGCTCAGAGCCGCTCTTCACATTGGGGTCTGGGTCAGCAGCCAACTATGAGAGAGACAGAGGTGGAGAGAGGGTCACTGTCAATACAGAAGACAAGGAATCCACTGAAGTCCAACAGCAAAGGCCTTGGGGCAGCCTGAACATCACATGGGCACCTCTCTCAGTGCACAGATGCAAGACAGGCAGGGGAGGCAAGGGGTAAAGCGGAACTTGGCAATGCTGCCGAGATGTGGCAGACCCCCGTTCTGCTCAGGGACCGCCGGGACCTGCTGCCACCAGTCAGGTGGTTGCTTCCCGTTGGCCTTCCTCAGGGCTTTCCAGTCTTACAATGCTGCGTCCTCTCTCCACTCCTGGAGGAGGGGACAGATCAGCTGTGAGGCTAATCCTCTAGAAACGACTTCAGGGAGGGGAACTCCATGACGATGAGAGAGGTGCTGATGAGCTATCAGGGAACCCAAAGCCTTTCTAAGCTTTTTCTAGAGCTTATGGGCTATGCTCTCCTTGCAGGGGAAATACAGTCTGTACTATGGAATCACCACCTTCACCTTCTATAAGGGAGGTCAGTGCTCTCAAATGACTGTTTTTTCCCCTCCAATTCGTGGTGGACTGATGCTTTTGTAAAATGCACTAAAGATAAATTAATAGAGGTGTGGGGGAAAAACAAACATAAATATTTACAGGCCCATCTAAAAATATATCATTAGATTGAACAGACAACAAGCACCCCTGGCAGCATGTGCTTATGTGCTCCCCTTGCATCTGGGAAAAGGGAGGCCAGCGCTCAAGGTTCCGAAAGGTCAAGTCAGGTGTGTTGGGTGAGCTCAGCCCAGTCGAGTGAGGAGCGGTCACCTTGCTCAGCCCGTCAAAGAGCACGTTGAAGTGGGGCAGCACAGCGCCTCGGGCCACCTTGACGATGTTGTAGAGGGCCTCACACGCGTAGTAGCGCAGCCTGCTGTCAGCATCGTTGAAGCAGGTCAGCACCGGCTCAATCAACTCCTTCAGGTAGAGCCCCGAGTCCTGAGATGGGGCAGGAGCAGAAGCAGCTCAGAATGGGTCAGACCTCGGGAACCCAGCCCTCGGCTCCCTTGGAGACGCTCAGGCCCTCGAGTAAGGGCTGGGCTAAAAGACCCTTTGCCAGTCAGCTTGCTGGGATAGGGATCACACCCAGGACCCTGGGTGCAAGGCCGCAGAGCCAGCCTTGAGGTCTGAGATGTGGAGAGAATGGCAATAAAGAAATCACAAGTGTGCAACACCCTGCTGGGGCTCGGGGGTCAGGGTCAGGGCCCTGGCTGGTGTGTACGTCCCTCCAGGAGAAGGGCTCACCTTGCCCAACGCGATGGAGCAGGCGGCCAGGCCGATGAGGCCCCCTTTCCGGCTGTGCGGGTGCTGGGACAGGGCAAACTCCTGAGACAGCGTCTGGATCACATGCTTGATCTGCACGGTGTTGTTCTGGGCCACGAACTCCCGGACCAGCCTGGAGAGGGAGCAGAGAGGGGCTGCAGGACCAGCGGGATCAGGCTGCACCTGCTGCTGCCGGCTCTGGGGCCCAGGGCTGGGGTGAGGGAGGGAGATGACCTGTTTAGAAAGAGGAATTGGGAGTCAGGCATCCCGGGGCAGGGCTTTCCCAGTTCTGCTGCTGAGTGGGAGGCGTTGGCTGGGTCACGGTCCTTTCCCTTTTCTGGGTCTCTGTTTCCCTTTGTCTATGACGGAATGAAGAACCGTGAGCAATCTCACTTCTGGGAATCTGAGAGAATGCAAGTGAAGGCCCTGCTGGGGCCCCAAAACTGTAGAGATCCACCGTCTTCATTCAATACTTGCTCAGTGTTGCAAGCAGTTCATGCACCCAAGTGGTTCTCTGTGTCTGTGTCATTATTTCTGGGGATCCACAAACAAACAAGGATGTGTAGCAACATGACACAAGCAACACCACAGAAGCAAGAACGCCGCAGGTAAGTCTCCCTGGGCTGATGGGGAGGTGCCATCTGAGTCAGATCTTAGAGCCATTATAGTAGGCCTTTTCCGGGTAAAGAAAGGAAGGCAGGGAACCTCAGGCACAGGGAAGAGCCTGGCTAAAGGCGGGGGCCCCCAAAAAACATGGTGTACTTAGGGAAGGGTGAGGAGTCCAGTGTGTGGAAGGGGTGGCTGGGGACAGTTAAAGGAAAAGACGAGGGCTTCCCTGGCGGCGCAGCGGTCGAGAGTCCGCCTGCTGATGCAGGGGACGCGGGTTCGTGCCCCAGTCCGGGAAGATCCCACATGCCGCGGAGCGGCTGGGCCCGTGAGCCATGGCCGCTGAGCCTGTGCATCCGGGGCCTGTGCTTCACAATGGGAGAGGCCACAACAGTGAGAGGCCCGCGTAATGCAAAAAAAAAAAAAAGGAAAAGACGAGCCAGGGAAAGGTTTCCAGCAAAGGGGGGACATATTTATGTTGTCTGGGTTACTTACCTTTTATTACTAAGGTGGTTGCTTCCCGTTGGCCTTCCTCAGGGCTTTCCAGTCTTACAATGCTGCGTCCTCTCTCCACTCCTGGAGGAGGGGACAGATCAGCTGTGAGGCTAATCCTCTAGAAACGACTTCAGGGAGGGGAACTCCATGACGATGAGAGAGGTGCTGATGAGCTATCAGGGAACCCAAAGCCTTTCTAAGCTTTTTCTAGAGCTTATGGGCTATGCTCTCCTTGCAGGGGAAATACAGTCTGTACTATGGAATCACCACCTTCACCTTCTATAAGGGAGGTCAGTGCTCTCAAATGACTGTTTTTTCCCCTCCAATTCGTGGTGGACTGATGCTTTTGTAAAATGCACTAAAGATAAATTAATAGAGGTGTGGGGGAAAAACAAACATAAATATTTACAGGCCCATCTAAAAATATATCATTAGATTGAACAGACAACAAGCACCCCTGGCAGCATGTGCTTATGTGCTCCCCTTGCATCTGGGAAAAGGGAGGCCAGCGCTCAAGGTTCCGAAAGGTCAAGTCAGGTGTGTTGGGTGAGCTCAGCCCAGTCGAGTGAGGAGCGGTCACCTTGCTCAGCCCGTCAAAGAGCACGTTGAAGTGGGGCAGCACAGCGCCTCGGGCCACCTTGACGATGTTGTAGAGGGCCTCACACGCGTAGTAGCGCAGCCTGCTGTCAGCATCGTTGAAGCAGGTCAGCACCGGCTCAATCAACTCCTTCAGGTAGAGCCCCGAGTCCTGAGATGGGGCAGGAGCAGAAGCAGCTCAGAATGGGTCAGACCTCGGGAACCCAGCCCTCGGCTCCCTTGGAGACGCTCAGGCCCTCGAGTAAGGGCTGGGCTAAAAGACCCTTTGCCAGTCAGCTTGCTGGGATAGGGATCACACCCAGGACCCTGGGTGCAAGGCCGCAGAGCCAGCCTTGAGGTCTGAGATGTGGAGAGAATGGCAATAAAGAAATCACAAGTGTGCAACACCCTGCTGGGGCTCGGGGGTCAGGGTCAGGGCCCTGGCTGGTGTGTACGTCCCTCCAGGAGAAGGGCTCACCTTGCCCAACGCGATGGAGCAGGCGGCCAGGCCGATGAGGCCCCCTTTCCGGCTGTGCGGGTGCTGGGACAGGGCAAACTCCTGAGACAGCGTCTGGATCACATGCTTGATCTGCACGGTGTTGTTCTGGGCCACGAACTCCCGGACCAGCCTGGAGAGGGAGCAGAGAGGGGCTGCAGGACCAGCGGGATCAGGCTGCACCTGCTGCTGCCGGCTCTGGGGCCCAGGGCTGGGGTGAGGGAGGGAGATGACCTGTTTAGAAAGAGGAATTGGGAGTCAGGCATCCCGGGGCAGGGCTTTCCCAGTTCTGCTGCTGAGTGGGAGGCGTTGGCTGGGTCACGGTCCTTTCCCTTTTCTGGGTCTCTGTTTCCCTTTGTCTATGACGGAATGAAGAACCGTGAGCAATCTCACTTCTGGGAATCTGAGAGAATGCAAGTGAAGGCCCTGCTGGGGCCCCAAAACTGTAGAGATCCACCGTCTTCATTCAATACTTGCTCAGTGTTGCAAGCAGTTCATGCACCCAAGTGGTTCTCTGTGTCTGTGTCATTATTTCTGGGGATCCACAAACAAACAAGGATGTGTAGCAACATGACACAAGCAACACCACAGAAGCAAGAACGCCGCAGGTAAGTCTCCCTGGGCTGATGGGGAGGTGCCATCTGAGTCAGATCTTAGAGCCATTATAGTAGGCCTTTTCCGGGTAAAGAAAGGAAGGCAGGGAACCTCAGGCACAGGGAAGAGCCTGGCTAAAGGCGGGGGCCCCCAAAAAACATGGTGTACTTAGGGAAGGGTGAGGAGTCCAGTGTGTGGAAGGGGTGGCTGGGGACAGTTAAAGGAAAAGACGAGGGCTTCCCTGGCGGCGCAGCGGTCGAGAGTCCGCCTGCTGATGCAGGGGACGCGGGTTCGTGCCCCAGTCCGGGAAGATCCCACATGCCGCGGAGCGGCTGGGCCCGTGAGCCATGGCCGCTGAGCCTGTGCATCCGGGGCCTGTGCTTCACAATGGGAGAGGCCACAACAGTGAGAGGCCCGCGTAATGCAAAAAAAAAAAAAAGGAAAAGACGAGCCAGTGAAAGGTTTCCAGCAAAGGGGTGACATATTTATGTCTATGTTTTGACCAGAGAGGCTGCCTCTGGTGCAGGTGGCCTGGTTTGACAGAGGGAGACTGAAATATCTCCAAGGGAGAACACCGCAGCCATCAGGGTCAGGAAGGGCGGCCTGAAATACGGCCGAGGCAGTGGGAAGCAGCAGGGAGAGGGGAGAGGGCAGGAAGGGTAGAGACGCCTGCAAAGTGCCCACCTGGGGGGTGATGCTAGCAGGGAAGAGGGGGTCTGAGGGAGGCAGTGCCTGTGGTCACCCTGGGGGGATGCTCCCAAGGCAGGCCCCACCCGAATGGAGGCGAGCACAGGGAGGCCGAGCTCCATCAGGAACCAGGGTCTCCTTTCAGGGCCCAGTGGACGTGAAGACACTCTGCCCTTTGGAGGCTCACAGCGTCTCTACGGTGAGAAGCCTCATGTAGGCAAATTGTGGCATGAGGGGCCCAGACAACCACTGGGGAGCTGCGGCCTGGGGGTCAGGGACATCTTCCCAGGAGTGGGAACTGAGCTGGACCTCGGAGGAGGCAGGGACCCTGAGAGAAGGAAGCAGGTGTTCTGGGCAGGAGCAAATGTGTGGACAAAGGCAAGGAGAGAAAAATAGCCAAATCTGCCTGGAGTCCAGAGAACAGCAGGAAATCAACTAGGATGAGCTGACTCGGCAGCTCAGATTCAGGAGACGGGATCTCACATCGTGGGTAACAGGGAAGCTGCTCATGGGTTTTGAAGAGATGGTGAAAGGGTGTTTTAAGAAGCCATGAGATGGATGGGAAGGGGGAGACTGTCCCATCATCAGGTGGGAGGGACTAGGACACGTATAGCAGCTGAAGGTGTGATGAGGGAGGCCTAGAGATCACAGACTTTTCAAAGTAGCTGCCTGGACTCATTGCCTAATTGCTCTGTGCCCATCACAGCAGGTACACTGCTCGCCTATGGCATAAATGGGGGTCTCAGGCTGGCTCAAAGAATTTTAAGGACAGTCAAGTCCAAAAGGTATTAATTAGTTTGTGTGGTTCCAGCTCGGTGTCAGGAACCTGCTAGTAATTAGCGTTCTTTAACTAAATGTGCTGTCCTGTGAGGCTGTGACCACTCCTGTAAAAAGGCTGTTCAATGGGGATTACAGGGCTTGATAAAGATTCAATCCCGCAAGTCACAGGGGGCATCTATTCTGTGCCTGGGACTCTGGCCACAGGTGAATCAAACAGGCCTGACTCCTGAGCTGGTGGATGTGGGAGCAGAAACAGGGATTCCAGGAAGGGGCTGTGCAGATGGTCTGTGAGGGCCCTCTTGCTTTGATCTTTATAGGGTGTGATTCCACCAAGCCCACCCCAGGGGGCTGAGGGCTGTGGATGAACCAAGGGCCTCGGGAGGAAGCCAGTTCCATAAGTGCCCCCTCCCTAAGCAGTGTAAAAAGGCGCAGCAAGGATGGCTCTACATAAACCCGCTGTATTCTCAAACAGGACAAACCAGCCACACGAGGCCCAGTGACGTGTCAGAGCACGCTGACTATCACGACAGACACAGCCTCTTGAGAAAAGCCCTGCAGGTGTGCCAGAGAACAGCCAGAGCATTGGTGGTTCAGTGGTAGAATTCTCGCCTGCCACGCGGGAGGCCCGGGTTCGATTCCCGGCCAATGCAGTGCTGCTTTTTGGCCTCTTCCTGGCAAGCTCCCCCAGAGATCCTGCTGCAGGATCCAGCTCCTCAGTCACGCCCGGCCTGCAGCAGCCAAGGGTGCTGCGAATCTCTGAGCGCACTTCCCTGCTTCGTGAGCACGAACAGCAGCTGGCTTCTCCACAGAGGCACCACTGGCTGTGGGACCCTTCCCCCCCGTAAGGGGACTCCTGCTGCCCCCTCCCAGCCTTGGCCAGTCTCCAGGAGGAAGCTGTGCTGAAGCCCGTGAGCTGTAAAACAGCTCAACATACCACGTGAAAGTGGGACGGGAGGACCCACACTTCAGAGAGGAGGAAGTCCCCAGAGTCTCAGTGGGCTTTTTGCTACTGAGAAGGAAAGACTTGAGCTCTACTTCCTGTCCTGACGTCTGAAGGCAAATCAACTTCTCACGCACACACATAATGCACACACATACACACCCGCGCACGTGTCCACGCGCGCGCACACAGCCTCCTCCTGCCTTCTCTCCTGCTCTGGAGCCTAAGCCTCTGCCGTTGCAGCTGTGCTGATGTGGCCTTCCATTCTGTGAATCAGTGTACAGACAAGAGGACTGGGGTTAAAGGGAGGTGCTCACACAGCTGCTCACAGCTGGAGCACTGGTGGTTCAGCGGTAGAATTCTCGCCTGCCCCGCGGGAGGCCCGGGTTCGATTCCCAGCCAATGCAGCAGCAAACTTTTTTTTTTTATCATCCTAAGAGACTGGATTTGACATTTCGCACTGCCCACAGCATTGGTGATACAGTCTGAAAAACCTAGAATGACTTTTCTCTAGCTTGAGTTTTCCATGCCTGTTTCCTAAATTCCACAGAGACCTAGATCTTGTGTCCCCTTGTTCTTGAGGAGTCCAGGATGTGGGGATCACCAAAGCCGCTGCAAGCAGCTGTGCCTCCCCTCCTGCCCAGACAGGCTGCCCGGGGACTCTGACTGCGATGCCCCTGGGGAAGCCAGGCCATGTGTGTTTCTGCTCCGTCGGTGTTAGAGCAGCCCTGAGAGTGGGAGTAATTACATTCATGAGGCTCCAGCAGGGCAGCAAAGACGCAGCCCTGCCAGCAGCACAGCCCGTCCTGGAACCACCTCCTCGCCTGTCTCCTTGTTTCAGGTCACAAACGGTCCCTGAGCCACCGGAAAGGGCCCTCCTCCCCACCTGAGAGACAGCAAAGGGGATGCATTCCCTGCCCCTGAGGGGCTCTCTGCCAGAATCCCGTGGAGGGGAAACAGAGAGGCCTCAAGGACTTTTCATACAAAACAGAGAAAAAAAATCTGGTGAGGACAGTGCAAGGTGAGGAGGGGGCAGGCGAGAAAGAGCACAAGCGGCAGCTTTCGTGGGGAGGGAGTTAGGTGTGGCTTCATGAGGGTCAGCTTTTGAAAGGGGTTCTGACAGATCAGTAGGTGTTCACTCAGGGTGAGGAAGCCCAGACAGAGGGAACAGCATGAACAAAGGCTCAGAGGAAGGAGAGAGGCACTTGGATTGGCAGCACAAAGGACACAGGTGGAGGAGACGTGGGTGACAGGGCCAGAGAGGCTGAGCCCACTCACGTGCTTGGCAAAGGAAGTGGCCTTTGCTTCTGGTGGCCGTGAGCAGCCACGGAAGGTACGAGTGATCTGCAGCGGTGGGTGGTAGGGATTTGAACAGCGTTTAGGGAACTCTGAAGACTGCAAAGGCTGACAGAGACCAAACGGTGGGAGAGCGTGAGGAATGGGGCACTAACGTCGGGTGACAGCGGGCAAGTGTAACAGGGTCTCCTGAAGGGGGAGGAGATGGGCAAGGGGAGTATCTGTGTTCAGCACCCCCCGACATTCCCGTTCGCTCTACACCAGCTGCAAGGCCCCCCCACCCCGAATCTTACCAGGACGCAACTCAGGGCACCCCAGGCCACTACAAATACAATGGCCCATTCAGTTCCCGAGGGCCTGGAACCCCAAGTCTCTATCTGCTCTTGGAGGAAGAATATTATCAGTGTCCAGGAGAGCGAGACAATGACAAACAGTGGTTCCCTGTGGAGGGAAACCCTGAGAACATGTTCTCACCAAAACCACCAGTTCTTAGAGCACTGGGCCTGGCCCTGTGGGTCACCCCTGGGGCCACAGCAGGAAGACTTGTCCCACGACCCGAGCCCACGCTCTCTACCTGACAGTCAGGGGATCAAGACAGGGCCGCGGACCTCTGCAGTCTCACTGCTCAGCTGCCCAGCACCACTTTCCTCTCCAGTCAGGGCTTCTTACTGGGCCCTGCTATGCTACTCCTTGGACACTTCCTGTCCATTCCACTCCACGGGGAAGCTCCCGCTCCCGTCCACAGCCTAGCCAGCCTTAAGTCCAGTTCACATCCAACCCCCTGCTTTCCCCGACCATCCCAGGAAGGACCACTCCTCCTCTGCACGCTGAAGGAC